CCCTTCTTGTGCTCTCACTCTCTCTCTAAAATAAATAAATAAAAAATTAAAAAAAAAAAATATATATAAATTTAAATTCACAACCACTAACAGCATTAAAGCTGAATACATACAACTCTGATAAAATATGATATGTAATATTTTGAATGGTGCTAATAAATATGAAGTTATAGCAAAAAATTATTAATTTTTAGGAAGCTAACACAGACTAGGAAAAGGCTGCCTTTTGCCTTTGACTGATTCATCTCTTAAGTCAGTTGTTTTTTCCAAAGGCTGATAATCCGATCTTTTTCTCTAAGAAACTAAGTTTCAGGATGACTTCTTGAGTGGTCCCAAAATTACTTGATATACAAAATGTATTATAGTAAACACTGTGTGAAAGAATGCAATGTTCATCCAAAAGAGATCAGAGTATGTTCAGCAAGTCTTAAGGCAGAGAAATGGTATTAAAGACCAATTTCTACCACAATACATTTGTGTACAAAGTGTAAATCTGCAACTATCTCAGAACACCAGGGTCCATTACATCTTCCACTAGCCCCATCAGATAATTAATGCCCCGGCTTTGCTCTACTCTTCACTGAATAAAGTAATCAAATAATAACTTATGACTGGCTTCGAATGTCAAAATTATATTCTCTTTCATTTGTTATCTGTATAGTTCTCAAAGCTCCTGATTTTAGTTACCTACTTAAAAGCACAGGAAGAGGCACCTGGGTGGCTCAGTTGGCAAAGCGACTGACTCTTTGATTCAGCTCAGGTCATGAGCTCAGGGTCATGAGATCGAGCCCTGTGTCAGGCTCTGCGCTCAGCCCAGAGTAGGCTCGAGATTCTCTCTCTCCTTCTCCCTTTATTCCCTCCACCCTCCCCCAAGCTCACTCTCTAAAAATAAGTAAATAAAATAAATAAATAATTTAAAAGCACAAAGACAACTTTAAAAATGTTTAGCTTTCTACAGACATGGTTCAATGCTTCTGGGTATGCATATAATGCATTTTTGTAAATGAAGGATATAAAAATTCTTAATCATGTTTAATATTCATTTTTAAAATTCTAATTCAATCAATAACAACACTTACCCTAAAATCATTCTTAAACTTCTTTAAGTCATCAATTTGCTTTCTATGTTCAGAAACAATTGGTGATATACCTGTAAAATTACAAACTGTTAAATATCAACTTATTGTAAATCTTTAACTTAAAATTAACTTAAAATGAAAATAAGCTTTTATTCAATATATTAATTACAGATTTTGACATCTGTCAAATTATGCATTTAAAAATGCACAATCCTAAGAAAAAGCACTGACCAAAAACAATCTGTACTGGGCATGAGTTTAGACATCTCCTTCCTATTTCCACAATTATACTGAAAGACTATTTAACGCTCTAACCTTTATTTTCAGTCTTTGAGAAGCTAGGTGATGTCTCATTGGGCTTCATATTTTCTTTATTCCCTGCAGGAGAGTTCTGCCTCTGATCTTGAAGCCTGGAATCCTTAGCTAAAAAAAATACATATTAAAAAAAATAATAATAAAGTAAAATGGGAAAGTAGTCAACAATTTTTATTTCCTATAGTTTTTGGAAAAAAAATTTCCATTTAACCAGAAGCTTTCTCCTTTGCAGATAAATGAAACACCAACAACTTTATTTATATTGATATTTACTACCTAGGAATGTTAACCCTTGTAACAGCAAACATTCAAGGATAACATATATGAAATTAGTAGTGTTAAACAACTTCATTTACATACAATATTAAATATATACTCAAATACATAACTATGAATAAACATAGCATTTGTCACTCAACTTCACAAATGACGTGGAGCTGGAAGCCCTCTCGTACATACCCTCAATAGATGGGGTAACAGCTCTGTTGGATGCAGGACTGGCAGGCGTAGGAGATGCGGCTGGAACAGGCATAGCAACAGCTTCAGCTGGAATAATACCAGCCTGAGGAGAAGCAAGAACTGGTCCACCAGGAGTATTTCCAATACTGTTCTGTCTGGGAGATCTGGGTCTGTGAGTTTTAGGGGATAATCTTGGAACTACAAGAAAGAGAAAAGTTATCCATTACATTCTCAGCTCAAATGTCACTTCCTCAAAGAGGCTTCTTAGAAAATTTAGGTAAAATAGTCCTAGTCAACCACCATCCCAATTACTCTTTATCCCATCACCCTGTTTTCTTTTCAAAAGTCTTAGGGAATAGTGGTGGTAATTGAAAACACAAATACCTGAAGAATGACAACAATTACTAATACCTAAGTACAACTGTAGTTTTTCCTTGTAACTAAATAGATTAGATTAATTCTAAAGGGCAGTACCTTTAAATGAAATTAGAAACTGGATTTTAAGACAGGATAAACCCCACTTTTTAAGATGAAGACAGCAACATTCCCCACTAAGAAGTGAGATGTTTCTTTAACAGTGGGGTGGTAGATCCCAAAGAAATAGGCTTATCTGTTCCTCCTTCAAATAATAAACTCAAACACCTTTTGGCAGCTTGCAGCCAATCCTGTATGTTCTTTCTAGCCACCTCAAGAGGCACTTTACAATAACTAAGAAAATCGGGGAACCAATTTAGCCAAAAGCAGAAGATAATCCACCAGGGTTCCTGTTCCACCTGTCCTCAAGTAAACAACTAATAGGTTTCTTATTCCATTATAAACCTATTTGTAGAACTCAGATTCAAAGGTTTAGAGAAAATGGTTCCTTTGCTTCAATTTAGTGGTTCTTTACTTTTTTAAGTCATAGGATCATGGAAGGAAACTATCCAACAACTGTCATTTTTCTAATTAGTATAAAAAAATGAAACTATAACACCATTCTGTGTATATTTCTAATAACAGTTTTTATTGTTTCACTTCTATAATTATGTTGTTACTCTCAAAATTCACTTCCAGATTCTCTGAGTAATGTCAAATGATGAATGGTACAACTGAATAAAGATTTTTAGAAATTCTATTTTCTTGCTAAGTGAATTATTTCTTTCTAATACCTAATATCTAATTTCTAATTAGATTACGTTAATAAAATATCTAATTTCTAATATCTAATTTCCTTCGGTCTTCCTTGAGGACCAAACAGAACATACAAAGGAATTTACCATGAAATTATACATACATGATGCTAAGCAATGTATATTGACTAATTTAATAGAGTTGGGTATATTTTTGTTTAAGCTTAAAGATCTTTTCCCTCTTAAAAATCTATGTGCTGATTAAGACAGATTATAAATAAAAAACCACAATCACTGCATGTTCTAACTCTCCACAGTTATCATGGAAGCAAAACATTAAATAGCAAAAGCAGTTTTGGACTAAGCTTACAGTTAGTCTTTTTATGTATCTTTTATACTTTTATAGCTACTATCAGCACATTCCTTGGGCTAATCACAGATAAAACTTGGGCCCGTCATGTATGTTTTTTATATTCCTTATAAAGAAAATACCATCAGGAATTAGTGCCATATACAGATGCTACAGAAATACACAGCACTGTAAGCCCCAGCAAATGTTTGTGGAATTAATCCACAGACAAAATTGCTAAGACAGGAAATACAGTCTGTCCAAATGATGTTACATACTGTATTTGTTTTGTATTTGAGTGGTAATTTATAAAACTATGAAGTATATTCCTAACTTATGAACCTGATATGAATCTTATCACAAGTCCATAAAGTAGAACAGGCAAAAATGACTCTAATCCATTGAGAAAACTGAAATTCAGAATAATCACATGGTTTGCTCTAACATACGGTGAATATGTGGTGGAAGCCAGAATAAAAATACAGCTTTCCCAATTCCTGGTTACTCCACTAATTTTAAGATATACACTTATTATTCCTCAAACAGAGCTTAAGCTCAGCCCTTTTTACATGCAGCAGAGTTACAAAATGAACACTGTTGTCATACTCCAAGCCAAGTATTACCTACCCCCGCTGACCACTGATGACCATGTGCCCCCCGCAGGACTAGTTCTTGCTGCTGGAGGAGCAGCTGCTTCACTTGGTGGGGTATGGGATACAAATTCTAGGCCACTGGAAATGGAACCCCTCCCAGCAGAAACTCTGTGATTTCGAGGGTGTCGCTGGGCCTTTGGGGACATCCTTGGAGGCCCTAAGAAAGGAAGAGTGAACATCACATAAATGCTACAACGTCCATCAGTACAACTTTTCTGCTAAATACATAAACCCTATTCTCACACACACACACACACACACACACACACACACACACTCTCTCTCTTGCTCTCTCCCTAGTTTCTCCTTGGTTATAAAAGAAAGAACACCACCAAAAAACTGTATTTGGGGCCATATTCTTTCAGAATTATTTTGTGGAATGCCATAAGGTTTTATAAATAAATTTTATATTATTTCCCTGTTTTTTTTAAAGAAAGGGAGGGATGAAGTTGGTGTTAAGAAATCAAACATATTGTAACTCTCCAAAGATTTTTATTTGTTTAATCTATATCCATTACTTATGGGCATATAAAAATAAATATAATAAAATATTAATAGAAGTTACAGTTACATGATAGTTAGGTTAAGTCTTATTTTACCACATACTTTTAGCTTTTTCCCTCAAACTTTCTAAAATTAGAAAAAAAGATTTTGAAACAAAAAGAATATTAATCCCTATGTACTTTTATACTACTGAAACATGACAATAAATTTTACAACCCATGCCTTAAAACAGTCTTCACGTGTAAGCAGTTTCTCAGACTGAACAGGCTATGAGCTGAAAGGCATGACCTGAAAGACTAAAACTGGCATCTGAAGAAGAAATTTGTATATATGAATTGTCAAAAATTCTAGATCATTAATTCTGCCACCCCATTAGTGGCTTCTATTTCTAAAGAAGTCTACTCTGCATTTGAACAAAACAATCAGATGAAATCAGTGGACAGAATGGCTCTCAGTAGAAAAGCCAGACAGTGCTAATACTCAGCAAAACTCATCCTTAATGTCAAAGCCAAGGTTCCTCACCCTCACCTTCCTGTCAAAGTCTTAAGAATGTCAAATAAATTCGTACCGTCAGTAGAAATTTAATCATGAATATTAAAAAGAACTATTAATGTTATATATTATAGTTTTCAACTGGAGAAGTGATTTATATAAAAAAATAATTTAAGAATTAGGTATATGCACATCATATAAATTTCTTATACCCATTTAGAGAAAAAGACCAAGAAAGCTGGTTGGCATAGTCCAGTGAAATCAAACTCTAACTTGGAAAAAAAAAAAAAAAATCATTCTTTTGTTAATACATAAAATACAAAGTACTCTCCCATATTAAACACAGAAAACCACTGTATTTAATAGTTCTACGTTTGAAGTTCACACTTGAAAAATGCTTCAGTGTCACCAAACTACATGACTGGAAAACATTTTAATTCAAATTAGTTAAAAAGAAAAATTGGATAATGTAGCAGCTCTGAATATGTAGAAGGTCTACTTCTACATGAATAGTCCCTCCACAAGCAGTCTACAACTTACTATAGTGAAGACGTTCATAACTAATGAGTCCTGCTTTACTCAAACAATGCACCACAACAAATACCACAACAGATTTTAACTTTTCACTTAGTGGCCACCATTACAAGCACTTTCTAGCAAGGAAGTCACCTTGAAAATCAGTGCAACATGCTGTTCAAGGTTAGCCACTTTAGTCAGTATCATATGACCTCCCTCCTGCCTGGATGGCAACAGTTTATTAAAAAGTAGCCAGCAGGGGCTCCTGGGTGGCTCAGTCGTTAAGCATCTGTCTTCGGCTCAGGTCATGATCCCAGGGTCCTGGGATCGAGCCCCACATCCGGCTCCCTGCTCCGTGGGAAGCCTGCTTCTCCCTCTCCCACTCCCCCCTGCTTGTGTTCCATCTCTGGCTGTGTCTCTCTGTCAAATAAATAAATAAAATCTTAAAAAAAAAAAAAAAGTAGCCAACATAGTTTTCTCCAGGGAAGCACTTTATGCCAGGAAACTCTATTAGTCTCAGCGAAAGTTCTATCAACCACGATTTTAATGAACAAATCAGATTAAAATGTTAACACAAATACTCTGAAATAATATCAAAAGTACTTATCATCCAGAAAACAGGTTTTTAACATATGCACTGCATTTATATTAAAATGTGACCTTTCTACAGTATCTCCATATATTCGATATATAGCAACAGTGGACTTAGCACCAAACATTGCATGAGAAATACAGGATTTTTTTTTTTTTTTTGACAAGGGCAAATGGTTTTTATTAAGAATATTTTATCTTAGGGTCTCCTGGGTGGCTCAGTCGTTAAGCATCTGCCTTCAACTCAGGTCATGATCCCAGGGTCCTGGGATCGAGCCCCACATCCGGCTCCCTGCTCGGCTAGGGACCTGCTTCTCCGTCTCCCACTCCCTCTGCTTGTGTTCTCTTTCTCACTGTGTCTCTCTCTGTTGGGTAAATAAATAAAATCTTATAAAAAAATTTTTTTTATCTTAGATCAAGGACTTCTTACAGATTAGACTTTCACTAGAAAATATTACAAAGCTAATTTTCTTAAATTCCCCAAACATAAAACCAATCTCAGTTTTATAATCTAAAAGCAGGTAGAGACACAAAGGCAGGTACATGGAATGTCCCTCTCAAAAAGGATCCCTAAATCACCATTACTGCCTTTGGCCAACAGGTAGGTTCACTAGTACCTTGGCCAAGGAGCTATAAAATGACAGGTTCTACAGTAAGTCCAATACTGGGTGAAGAAAGTTCATTGCTCTTCATTAACCACTCTTTATACTGTATATTGAGAGGGACAAAAACCTGGGGCACACCTTTTGGGGCTGTAAAGGAGCATCATTATTACCAGGCAGAGATAAACCCCCATCCTTAAAATCCAGGATAGTTCATAGCTTCACACAGCATTTATCAAATTTCTCTCTAATGAACAAAAGGTTAATAGAAATAGTTTTAATAAACTAAAGTTAAAACACGGAAATTATAGGTTATTAAATAATGAAGAGGAAACTATTTTGTAATTATAAACTCACATAGGAGTTAAACAAAGACAAACAAAAACATGAACAAATTGTGGTATTGTACCTTCTGAAGACATGCGTTTAGGCATAGTAGAGACAGGAGCTGGAGAACCATGAGCAGAGGGGTGAGACGGGGGTCTGGATGGCCGCGAGGGGGGCCTGGAGGGCGGCCGTGTAGGGGTGGCTGCCCGAGGTGGAAGAGAGTTGGGACCTGACTGGTAGCGAGAAGGTGGGCGAGAGGAAGGAGATGGGCAAGGCGATGGCCAGGGAACACCTGACAGAACAAATGATATGAAGGAAAGTATAAAAACTAAAGAAAAAAATGAGGGAAAAAAGTAAACAGAAAAAAAAGTAAAATGACAAAAATGATTTCTTGTACATTTTAACCCTTTGAGGACAGTCATTTGATTTGTGATAAGTTTTAGCATAACTTAACTGACATAAATTCACATTTTACTTTAACCTCCTTAAAATTAAGTCTGTTTGAATGAACACACGTTCCCAAAGGGTTAATTAGGATCTACACATACTATTGAAGAAGACAGTTAAGACTTTGCCTATTAATCCTGCTTCTGTTACTGTTTCTCAATAATCAATTATTAAAAGGAATATAACATAAACTAAGTAATTTTACACAATAAATCACAAAACTCAGGAATAAGATTACTTGCTATATTAGTTTTAGCTTTTGAAACATGAAAATAAGCAGCAGCTATTATATCCCATTAAAAATGCTGGTTTTTATATAACCATCTGTGATTTTCATCTAGTTTGTACTTGAAGGTTAAAATTTAGTTTGAAATCTGATTAAGCAAGTCCATTTAGTAGAAATAAAACATTACTTCTATTTTTTAGAGTCACAGGAGTGACAAAGGTTAATATTCATTGCCTTTTCAAAAAACATTTTTATGTTATCAAATTAGAAAAAGAGGGGGGACCTGCTAAGTAATTCATGCAGTTAAACACTTATTTAAGTGACTGCTTAATAAACTATGCAACTAGAGAGCAGTCATCACCAAATAAAAGGACACTGAAGGATATGCACAGATCAAGATACAGCTAATGTGTAACATTACATATCACTTACCTTAATCTTAGGAAACAGTCCAGGTCTCCTCTCCATAGGGTTCCACACACTTGAGTATCATACATTTCCTAGCCCCCTTCAGGTTTTTTACTTGAAAATTCTGTTCATGAACTAAAATTCTTTACTCAGTGAGCAAAGAAATGTCACCCCCAATACTAAGTACAGAAAATACTCAAGAGTGTTTATTTGGAGAGGAATTCTGGAGAAAGACTCAACAGAAACAACTGAAATTGGAAACTTAATGTTCTCTCCTTTTCTAACTTTCTCAACCTAAATATCTTAAACTGAATGTCCACTTTGTTCCCTAGGTTAGGAACACAGTACTGCTATTTCCATATTGCCTATAGTACTGCTGTCCAGTATCCCTGACTCACATGAAAGATCCGTGACCTATGAGGTATAGTCAATCTTAGATTTAGAGGTAAAGCAGAAAAATATCTTCCTACTAAAGATGCAAGTCTCTTTCACCGTACTTATGCTAAACTGCAATATCCACCCTTCAACTAAGAGTTGTTTCTATTGTTTTTTAAGCACATTTCTCCCTTATCTTCTTCACATGACTCTTGGTCATGTCTAGTATAGCAAGTTACCTCAAATCCTTTCTTGAAGTAAGCAGAATATAAATGTGCACACAGTTAATGAAAATTAATCTGTATTAACCACTGAGTGTTTCACACAGACTAGGATTTTCCATATTAACTATGTTTAAGTAGTTTTATCATCCAGTGTTTTTAAAATTGAGAACCTACCCAAAGTTTCCAATTTCTTTATATGTGGAGTATTTTTTGGCCAAATTTAGCACTTTATCTTAATACGTGAGTATTTCATCACACTAAATACTGTATATGCCAATGACTTATACTAATTTTACTAATTTGATATCCACAAAGGCAAATTTTAAATAATTTTGAAGTAAAAACTACTCCACAGAAATCACTGAAGGTGTGCATGCTCTTACCAATTATGTTAAACTTAAATATTCAGACAACTATATATTTGATCGAGGACATTGACAAATTTGGTCAAAATACTTGCCTCCATTAACTACTCTTTGGTCTGAACCAGAATTCGGGTTGAAATCTGAAGTGTGAGAGGTGGATCTTGATGGCATGGAGCCCGATCCAGGCTGGCCCATACGCGGTGAATTCTGTCTCCCACTTCCCCAGGATATGACTTCTCTATTTCTTTGTCCAGGAGGAATATATTTATTTTCCCTGAAAATGAGAGAGCCTCTAAATCATTTTATCCTAACAGATACCAGGCCAATGAAACAAATCTAAAAGTAATTGAGGCAGAAGTGAATGCTTGTTATAAAAAGGTTAAACACTAAAACAAAATGTCTCACTCCCAAATATCCCTAATTCTTCCATGTTACCCTGAGGTCTAGCCTCTGGCCTTTCCTTTCTCTCAGATTCTCCTCCTAAGCAAAAAGTTGAACAGATTTGTGTTCATTCGCATCCTACTTTACCTCTAAATGGCTGAGTCTATCAAATATGGTCTGACTTCCTAAAACTTTCTTTGTCCTTAGCTTTCTCTACTTTGTTTTCTCTTGGATTTCTTCTCTTTGTGGCTATTCATTGGTTTTTTCATTCAGTATCAGCAATGCTGACAAATCCTAAATCCACACTGCCAGTCCCACAGTCTCAACATCTCCCACTGAACACTTTAATTCAAATCATCAGACTATAGGCTGCGTCTTTAAGAAAGAATTTATATCTTACCCTACCAGGTATGTAGTAGATGTTTCTCAACATGTTTATGAATAAATGAATCAAAGACCGGCGAGCCCCTCAAATGCAATAAATTTAACAAAGGGCTCACTCTTATCTCCCCTCAAATTTGCTGTTTTCTATCTCCATTACCAGTACAAATAGCAATCAATTTAGTTATCAAATAAACCTCAGGCTCACCCATGGCTTTTCTAACCTTTCTCTCACAAGCCCTGGCCTAGATAGTTACCAAGTTCTCACACTTGAACAATTTCAATACACTAACTGGTCTCCATGTTTCAGCCAATTCTCAAATGTCCCAGAGTTCGTTCACACCTTCCCCTGCCTACAGGGTGCTCTTTAACAGGACACAAACCCTTCACTACCTCAGTTCCTTTCACCAGCTACCACCACTGCACCCTCAACATCACCCTGTATTCCAGACATATGAAACAACCAGCCTCACCCCCGGTTGGCCAGGTTCTTTCACATTTCTTTTCATCATGCAAGGAATGCTTCTCTCTTACTTCTCTTTGGGCAGCAGACAGTGCTACTATCCTATCACAAAATGTCACCTCTGTGAGATTTTCTCTGACCCCACTGGTTACATGCTCGTTCTTTCTCACTCTGGACACACCTCTGATCTAGCAAATCCTAGTGAACTGCTATTATGTTCTGTGCACCATCCCCCCATCTGATCACTTTTCTTTAAATAGCTCTTCCACACCTTGGCTTGCTCATCACTGTACTTCCAACACTTGGCTTCACAGAGCTGATGCTCAAAAAATATTTTCCAAAATTACTCTAATCTTTTCTCTAAAAGAATCTTAAACCAATTCCACTTGCATTCTCTACCTAAGCTACATTAAAGGAAGATGAAATATAATAATAATAATACACCTTCTCACACAGACCTTGAGTTGTGTATCCAAAATACTGCATCATGATTTCCTTTAAATACCTAGTGTTTATGCTGTGGCCCTCACGTTCACTGGAATTTCTCTGAACGGCTGTGTATTTTTCTTCTTCACTCCTATCATCATTTTCCAGGGCCACCCGGGCTTTGTACTGGGCACTTGATTCAATTTCTTCTGCTAACTGGTTTGCCCTTGCTTCTCGTTTTAAAAATTCTTCTGAGTTATCCCTTTCTAAGGGTACCCTGACATGAGGGGAAAAAAAAAGCAAAGTGAGTATTTTAAAGTCACAGTTTATATATCTCTGTCCCAATCAACTATTAAAAGAGTTTAGAGTTTGAAAGACTGATAAAAATATAAAAGAGTTACAGTGATCTGCTCATGTATAAATCAAAATTAGAAATTTTTTTGTTTCACTTTTCCCTAGAGGAATGTAACATTTCCAAAGCTGGTTAAATGGACTTTCTCAAACCATAACATCTACACTTGCAAACTTAAGAGTTTTTGCAACTTAAAACAAAAACAAAATTTATCTAGAGCACAACATTAGAATACAGGTGAACTAAACTACATTTATTTCCTGTTTTAATGAGAATCTATCAGCTTAAGTAGTAACAGGATCAATTCTTTCATGTAACTGTTTAACTTAACATCTGACAGGGGGCGCCTGGGTGGCTCAGTCAGTTAAGCATCCAACTCCTGATTTTAGTTCAGGTCATGATCTCAGGGTTGTGAGATCAAGCACCGTGTCACGCTCCACACTGGGCATGGAGCCCGCTTAAGATTCCCTCTCTCCCTCTCAATCTGGCCCCGCCCCTTCCTCTCTCTTAAAAAAAAGTAAAATAAATTTTTAAAAAATCCAACAGAAAAATTTATTCAACATCCTAATATAAGTTGATGAAAATCAAAGACAAATGTAGTAAAATAAAAGCCAATTTTTTAAACTTACGTATATGAAGATAAACTGCTATCGTATGTAGACACTACACCATAATTTTCTTCATTATATCGAAACATATCATTGGGATCCCATCCATTAGACTAGAAGAAAATAGTTTATTTTTCAAAATGACAAAGTATTCGTCTTCTTTAATTCAAGTACAATCAATATCTTACATTAACAATGTCTATCATCTTGCCACAATAGTTAACCACTATTAACTTCTTGGGCATAATTCCAGATGTGCTCTATGTAGTCATTAAGAACATGATCAGTTAGAGCAATCTCCTTTTTAATTCAAATAGGATCTTCTTGTTATGTAACTTGCTTGGTCTTTTAATAAGTCTTGAATATCTTTCCATATCAGAATGCCATTCTTTTTAGTGGAAATACAGTGTTTCAGTTGAATGGAGGTACAATAAATCTATTTAACCCATGCCCTACTGATGAACAGGTTGTTTCCAATTTTTCACTATCAGAGATAATGTTGCAGAAAACATCCTTACGCATCATTATTTGCATGTCCTATGGATATACCAGGACAATAATAAATTCTCAGAGGTGAGTCCAACTGTAGGTGTGTTTTAAACTTTTATAAATATTGCCAGAATGCTCTCTGGCAACTTAACGGTTTATCCACCTCACTATCAGTAAAAAAGGAGTACCTGCTTCGTATCCTACATAGGTGATGTGGTGCAGAGACCTGAGAACCTCCACATTAGGTTATATCGGATTCTTTGAAGTCTGAAAATGAATAATGATGTGTTGCCTATGTATTTCCAGTGTTAAAGCTGGACTTAAACATTAAAAACAGATTTGTTATAAAGACTTCTCCACAATATTCAATGGAAGATTCTTCATCCAATTCAAATGTTGCTACCTAAACGCTCATTTTTGGTAAGAGATTTTACTTTCTATCTACCTTACAACCATAATTTATAGAATCCTAATGATAGTCTTTACTACTAAGCATTTGATTTAGAGATGATGTGTTATGGGAAAAGTAAAAATAATATACACTAAAAAGCTTTTAGAAATAGCAGATTTCTGTGGGGAATGATCTTAATTTTAAGACCAAGAAATCTACTTACTGCTTTATTTCTAATGCAACTTAACTATGTATCTTAATAGTGAGAACCTCTTCCTCAGACAAGAAGCCCAGGAGTGGTACCTCTAGGTAACGTCAAGAGACAATTAAGACGCTAATTTCCTTAGGCTGCCTTATTCTGTAAAGCATTCAAAGCAAAACATGCCAGTATTTCCAGTTTCCCATGCTTCCCAACTTAAATTTTAAGTTGCTTATTATGGTTTATTTAAAAACATGGAAATCATTCATAAGCATCCCAAAGAAACATTTGTCTGTATTTACTGCCTGGGGGGAGATCTCTATTTAGACAATAAGACTGCTGCTTTAAATGTATCTACTACAATGATGACAACATACTTAAATTAAAACCAAATAATAAGATGTCACACCACATCACATGACCACAGTCTGATACTAAGCAAAAGACTTTACTTACTACATCATTTTCCAAAGCCTCCAGTTCCTCACTGGTAGTGAGTTCACCTGCATCCCAGGGCTCCAGGTCCTTCTCTTTGTGTTCACCATTCACTTTAGCACTGATAGCAGAATCAGTAAAAGCATCTGCAAAGGATGGACTTAGCTGAAAGATCACATAGTCAGACAATGGGCAACAGTAATACACACAAATTATCAACAGAGATATGCTAAAAATAATTATGATATAGAAAGTGTAACATTCATTAATGGTATGCTTTCAGATGTATAATGCTTCTAATACAATAATCTTCCAAAAACTTTCAGTTCTTCCCATATAATTTTAAGCCACATGAAATGTTTTAATGCATTCACCAGGTCATTAAATTATATTAAAAATAATTACTTTGTATTTCAGAAGCGATCCAGAAAATCTCTACCAACCCATCTAAAATAGGATGCTTTTTGTTTAATGGATCCATTAATTAAATAAAAGCTCAGAACTCCTATATCCAAACATATGCATTTTAACTTTCCAAATCCATGTCTATATTCAGGGGTCTTGCCATTAGTAACTGAAGCCATTCTAAGTGAGCAAACCCTTCACAGAATCCATTTTTCCCTATAGCCACTCTGTTACAAAGTTCAGGCGCTACAGTGTCATCGTCCCCAAAAGGTTCAGGAGGCAGGCCTGTCTATCAGGACTTCCCACCCTCACTTTCTCACTTACTGTGTCCTCTCCTCTCTAATGTTACTGAGGAGCAGGTAGCTTGTGAGAGCATCACCATGTTCAGCTGACGGGAAATATCTCAGAGCTGCTACCCAGCAAAGAAAATTTTTCTCTAGTTGGGTGTTAGGACCAGGCAAGTAAAGGTCTACTTGGGCAATGACAGTATTAGAAAATGCTTTGGAGATACAGGCTTGCATTTAAATGGCTGGGCCCACAAGGTATCACCTAGCACAGGGCTAGGGAATAATACTTCTGCTGATCTGGCTCTGTCAAAGGATACTAGCTCCCAGTCACTGTGCCCTCACCCATACTATAAGCTGCCACCAAAGAGCAGGAGTAAAGAAGAATCAACAACTGTGTCTCTTTTAATAGAGACAATTCCAGAGAGATTTTTTATTTGGTACAACTTCTATAACAGTCACTGGCTCCCTAGGGGGCAAGGTGATAACCAAAATAAGAAATCCAAGCCAGCACATTTAAGCCAGCTTGGCACTACAAACCTAACTAGCTCTTACCTCCTCTCATCCTAAACTAGCAGTGGATGGGTGTGTGTACATGCAATCCAGGAAATAAAAGCATAACTGCACCTGTGGGCTCAGCCACTCGCTCTACCAGCAGCACGGCTCCCACTGCTAGCAATTTTAAGAGCTAAGAGCGTACCAAGGGGGATCCCCAAGAACAGCAGGCCTCAGGTGCAGGTAGAATGGAGCATACACTGGAAGATTACTGTACTCTGAAAAAGCTCTCTAAGAGGTTCTAATAGACTGGTGTTGTCTTCATAATGCCACATTCAGCTGGAAGCCACTAACGGCCCTAAACACTTGGCTTTATGTGAAATTCACCTAAGTCAAGCAATACTCTCTATCACCTTATAGTTGTACAAATTCTTGATAAAAATTAGTTTTGCTATGTTTATTTTCAAGAACGTGAAATGCTTCAAGAAAACATCAATAACAACTTAACATTAGGATGCTGAAATTCCCTATTTTCCCAGAAAACTAGACTACAGGAAAATTCCAAACCAGTCATGTCACCTTCTACAAAGAGCAATACAATTATTAATTTATACTGCTGATCCTATTCATGTTGTAATCGCCTTAGTTTTTTGAGAAGCATCTACCACTTCAGTGAATAAAATATTTACTTACATGGAAACCCAGCATTAAAGATGATACTCTTTATCTAAGAAATTAAAGCTCAAAGCAAGAGATATTTTTACACAACCACATAAATGGACTTTTTCCCACTATAACATGTGTGTGTACATGTGTGTGCATGTGTGTGCCAAAGTATTTAGGAAAGACAGGGACTGAACCAAGCTGTACTCAAATTGATAAATAAATTTTTATCAGTATTATTCTGAATAAAATCAAAAAAGATCCCTGAATGGAAGTCAATGTGGAAAAGCAAGCATCTAACACTTCACTGAACCAAGTTTTACCCTGCTGATCACAATTTAGGCTCTATTAACAGGACATTATTAAGTAACCTGTTTTTTTCACTACTACATTTTTATCATAAATTTGTTTACAATACCAATATTGTAAAAGGAATTAACTACTCATATGTTGTTACTTAGCATGATAGCTTTCTTTCGAGGCAGTAATGGGGAGGGGGCGGAGAAAACACAAAAGGTGTGTTTCTCTTAAGGATGATATTCCTTAATTTTAAAACCTCCTCCAAAGAAAGTCCCTTTTTAAAGATGAATGAAGAGTTTAGAGAAAGATGTTAAAAAAAAAAAGAGAAGTAGAAAGTGAGCACAAAAATGAGGTTATACAGTCAGGAAGCCGGGGAAAAACCCTGGTCATAAATACTGTATTTCAGGTCAACACTGTATTATTATTAGCTAGAACGAAGCAAGACCTGGATATTTCATTCTACACTATTACCAACACCTAATACTGTAAATTCTGAAAACCCCATGTATGAATTTTTGAAAAAAAAAAAAACAATGCTGGATTTAAATAGTACAACCTATAGCCAGGATTTCTGCAAAGTTTGGAAAATCAACTGGCTATAATCTAATTGCAATTGTGGGAATTTGTATGCAGATTGTTCCAATGCCATGTGAGAGTATATTAATTTTTCATTATCCTCCATGGCAAGAAACAAAAGCATAATAAAAGCAAGATGCAAGAATACAAAAAGGCTGTTAGAAAAATGTTACCTGTTTCTGAAGGAATAACAGGTATAGAAAGAAAAAAACAATAAGAATTATCAAAGATAATAAAGATTTAAATTCTTCAGGTGCTTCATTCCCTGCCTTATAAACATTCAGTTTACCAAAATCTCTAGACTAGAGGGGAAAAGAATACACAAGTATCCCCCTGCCCACACATCTGCAAACCCCTCTATACCACCCCCACAGCAGCTCTCAAAACCTCTTCTGATTCTAGGCAAAGGTTTAGTCACCCTGGGTCAGTGGTGCCTCCTAGTGGTAATCAGAAAGAAGTGTCTCAACCAAAGCACCACGTCTCTTTTGGGTATCCCAATGCCCCACACCCAGCAAACAGGATATATGTTCTGCTCCTCAGCTTTTCCTCTTACCTCTCAGTTATGCTCATCTACAACTCTGAAAAATCACTCAACGTTGTCTGAGAACTTTTTAAAGGATCGGAATAGTGGTAAAATAAAATGCTAGTGACACACTATAAATTAATAAATATAAATTTAAATCTATTAAAGCCACAAAATGAAATATTTGATGAAATTTAAAAATTATCAAAAAAATTTTTCTAATTTTAAAAACAAAAAATCAGTCTCTGACTTAACATCAGAAACCCTCAAATGTGCTTCCAGAAAAAGTTTTCACCAGAATCCTCAGCTGCCCGTTTCCTCTACCAATTAAATCTCCTTTTTCTCCCACTTTTTAAAAAGATTTTATTTCTTTATTCGAGAGAGAGTGAAAGAGAGAGCAAGCACAAGGGGCAGAGGGAGAGGGAGAAGGAGGCTCCCCGAAGAGCAGGGAGCCCGATGCGGGGCTCAATCTCAGGACCCTGGGACCATGACCTGAGCTGGAGGCAGACGCTTAACAACTGAGCCACCCAGGCGCCCCATACATCTCATTCTTCTCAAACACTGAAATTCTAGATAAAATTTTTTTAAAGCTTATTTCATTGTTATTGTTCTGTTTTGATGAATTAAGAATTCTGTGACTTTTTTTCAAAAACTTTAAAAAATATTTTCTCAAGGCCCCTGGGTGGCGCAGTTGGTTGAGCGTCCGACTCTTGGTTTCCGCTCAGGTCGTGATCTCTGGGTCGTGAGATCGAGCCCTGCATGGGTCTCTGCACTCAGCATGGAGTCTGTTTGAGATTCTCTCTTTCTCCCTCTGCCCCTCCAGCTCATGCTCCCTTTCTCTCTCTAAAATAAAAAAGTCTTTTTAAAAAAAGAATATTAAAGAATAGCATAAACAAACAAAATGGGGAATGAAACTGGACCTCTTTCTTACACCATACATAAAAATAAACTCAAAATGGAGTAAAGACCTAAATATGAGACCTGAAACCTAAAAATCCTAAAAGAGAGCACAGGCAGTAGTAATTCCTGACACTGGCTGCAGGAACATTCTTCTAGATCCGTCTCCTGAGGTAAGAGAAACAAAAGCAAAAATAAGCTATTGGGACTACATCAAAATAAAGCTTCCAGGGGCACCTGGATGGCTCAGTCATTATGCGACTGCCTTCGGCTCAGGTCATGATCCCAGGGTCCTGGGATCCAGCCCCATTTCAGGCTCCCTGCTTGGCAGGAAGCCTGCTTCTCCCTCTGCCACTCCCCCTGCTTGTGTTCCCTCTTTCGCTGTATCTCTCTCTGTCAAATGAATAAATAAAATCTTTAAAAACAAAACAAAAAACAAAATAAAGCTTCTGTACAGCAAAGGAAACAATCAACAAAACTAAAAGACAACCTACTGAATGGGAGAAGACATTTGCAAATGACATATCTGATAAAGGATTAGTAACCAAAATAATAAGAACTTACACAACACCAAAAAAAAGCCAATCCAATTATAAAATGGGCAGAAAACATGAACTGACATTTCTCCAAAGAAGACATACAGATGACCAACAGACACATGAAAAGATGCTCAACATCACTCATCATCAGGGAAATGCAAATCAAAACCACAACGAGATATCATTTCATACCTGTCAGGATGGCTAAAATCAAAACCATAGGAAACAAGTGTTGGCAAGGATGTGGAGAAAGAAGAACCCTTGTGTACCGTTTGGGTTTTGTTTCGTTTGTTTTTTTAAGTAATCTCTACACCCAATGTGGGGCTCGAACTCACAACCCTGAAATCAAAAGTCGCATGTTCTATTATCTGAGCCAGCTAGGGACTCCACCCCATTTTTTAAATTTTTTTTTTTTTTTTTTACCCTCATGCACTGTTGGTGGGAACATAAACCAGTGCAGCCAC